ACTACGAGTTAGCCTTAGGTATTCTTTGACTATTTTCTTCTTTACACATGCATCTCGCGTGGCCTTACGGCCACGACATGGGCAAATGAAAACGTCTCTTTAATTTGTGCATATATCATGGTCCGCCTGAGTTCGATATTGTTTCATCTCAATATCTCGTTATTCATTTCCGCTTTTCTGAACTTGCGTGATCAAATAGGAGGTTCAAATGGTTTTTCTTGAACACTGACTAAAGTTGATAACTTATGAATAATCTGAGTTTAACTAGTTTTGCTGGCGACGTCCATAAACCCTTGACAACGTTCGCATGACTAAACTGAGTTAAATCCCAAACCTGCATGTCTCACAACTAAGAGTAACACAAATTATTTTTCGCTAAGGATATTTAAACTCGAGATACTTCGATAAATTATATGCAAACTAAACAACATCGCTCCTTACCAAATTAATCAGCCAACCGCTTGAGCATTCAAATTAATGACAATGGAAGGTCGAAATATCGACTGTGCCCTTGTCGTACATACCGTATTTTGTTAAATGACCTCAATATATCGTCTATGGTTGTTTATCACATGCAGTTATTAACAACAATGGCTTTTTTAAGTCGAAGGTGGCTGGAGCGAATGGAACTCATGGAGTATCTGTACCAGGCCAGTTGATGGTATACAAACAAGGGAAAGAGAATGTACTAATCCAGAACCATTATACATGTATGGTGGGAAACAATGCACTGGGAACAGAGCACTGCTGAGAGAATGTAGCAACACGTCCAGTTGTCTTGAAGGTAACATGCAAGAATCTAATTTTGTGATTTCAGCGAAAGGAAAGTCTCTGACAAAAAAAAGAAAAAAATAGTGAATACACGAACAGATATTAAAATAACAATGAATACAGGAAAAATTCTGAGTTTGAACTTTAATCACACACTATCATTAAGGCACAAAATTCTCCATGCACTTTTTGAAAGAAAGAAATAAAACCTGTTTAGTTTAACTTAGACTGTGACGTTTTTTCCTTTGATTTTGCCTTTTTTTGTTTGCGTTACGTTTCGTGACATCTACATAAGTTAGAGTTTGGTCACATGTCTTTCGGCTGTAGCTGTCTCACACGTGTTTTTTGTCGATGAACCCTTGCGGACTGTAAACTCTTCTTTTCGTCACTTTGGTTCGCACAAAATGTAAGTGAAATTTCAATTGACCCTTGTTTTAGGTATTCATTATGTTTATTTGTCGTTCTTGTTTGTTTCTTTCTCAGTTTTCACCGTTTTGTAACCGTTTTCATGACATGTTTGTATTATCGATTGCGATCGTTGAAAATTAAAGAATTTACGGGATAAACGCGTTGAAGTTTTGTGCCATCCCCAACAAAACTCGTTCCATGTACATAAAACGTCAAGTTACAGTTTGCTGTTAGCTACAGATTATGCTCGTTTTAAAATCTCTTCTCCTCTTCTATTCAGTATAGCAATTATTACGTATGATGCACGATCCTCGCAGTAGATAGCGCTATTTAAGCAATAGCGAAAATCAGACCTGAAAAAAATCAGGCCTGTACGGATTCGAACCAATGACCTCTGCGATACTAGTGCAGCGCTCTACCAATTGAGCTAACAAGCCAACTGGGAGCAGGCCGTTAAGTTGATTCGTAATAAACCCGTGAAAGTGATAAATCGGATACAATGAAATATAATGTGGTGAGCAAGGCCCAATATGAAGTCCATGTATAACAGGCGTCCTGCATACTGCTGAGATGTTTGTTATTATTTTGATTATTATCGATGTTATTTCCATTATTAAAACTATTTAAAAAAAGAACAAACAAAGAAACTAGATTTTTTTTTTAAATTTTTTGAAGGATTTCCACTGCGTTTTAAAACAGAGAATAACCCATCTGTCGGTAGAATGGAAATCTACGCGAACAATAGCTGGCAAAAGCTTTGTACAAGTCAATGGAATGAAGCTGATCTGAATTCAACCTGCATGGCCATGGGCTACTATAACAACGGTGTTTATGTTAATGACACATGGTATGCAGAAAGAGTCAACGCCTCCAAGACATCCATCAACCACAACTGCACCATTCCAACTACATGTGAAAAAAACTTGACAAAGAAACAGCAATTCTGCAAAGGTAAAAATGAATTTTACTCATTTTCCGGATTTGGTACCATGATAACTTCAAGTACATTGACAGAGAGGTAAAATTGCTTAAGGAAAATTATTTTTCGTCGTCGAGGTTTGCTCAGATACAAGAAAGGTATCAAAAATTAAAAATTCTGCCACAGCTGGCAGTAATGTCGCAATCTGATTGGCCAATGTCTTGCGGACTCACTCGACTGCGCCTCGCGAGTCTTCAAACCATTGCCGAGTAGTTGATTTTAGCCGTTTCCTACATGCTTAAAAGATAACTACATAAAAGCTGTCGAAATAAGAACCTGTGCTATCATGAATTTAGGGCTCATGAACGTTATAGTTTTCAAAGGAAGAGTCAAATTAATACTTTTAAATCCTTAATTTCAGCTCCCCTAAAACTTTTTTCTTACTCTTCCTTTCCCATTTTTTCTCTTTTGCGTGCGATAAGAAAATTTTCCAAATTTCTAACTGACACCTGACAGAACGTCTCTTCCTTGATTATAGAAGACTAATGATTTAGAGGTAATAGAATTTATAAAAAGTTTTATAATGTTTTAATTTTTTAATATATTTTTTAATTTTTTATTTTTTAAATTTTTTGGGGGCCACGGTTCTAGCTAAAACCGTGGCCCCCAAAATATTTTTCCCAAAATATTTTTCTCACCTTTCCTTACGTTTGAAATATTTCACAACCTCGCCTGTTCCTGTTCGTAAGTCCGGCCAAGCCTTTATGGTCATCGGCCCCCGTAACTTTGGCTTATAAATACAGGCCTTTAGTTATACTTGTAAAACTCCCTGAAGAAGTCTACGACAGTTAGACGAAACGCGTCGGAAAATAAAAGAAGTTTTACATCTACTGTTGGCAGAAGTGCTGCTCACTAGTCTATATTTACAAAATTAAAAGTTAAAAAATTATTAAAAAATTAAGAAATTAATGAGAAAATTAAAAAATTAATTTCCCTATTGCACTGTCAAAGTTTAGTGTTTTAAAGTTACGAAAACACGCTTTTAAAAGTTCTAAAATACTGCAAATATAAATTAGATCTAGTTTGCTTTCAAGTTAGTATAATGATGAAACTTACGAGGTGAAAAACACGAATGCTTTGCAAAAGGGGATCGTCGACCACATCGCTTCAAGGAGACTAACAATATGCAATGTAAACGTCTCGATCTACATTGGAGAACAAATGACACCTGCAACATCGTAACTATTATTTTCCGAACCAACGAAACTTGTAGCCTGACGGAAAATACAAAATAATACACCGAGAATGATGAAAAACACAGGCAATCACCAAATTGGCACTAACTGAGAAATTCACCTCGTGATTTATGGTCGTTCGTAATGTTTCATAAATTTGTCATTCCCATAACTAGCTAATTTTATCACGGTGTATTTAACGTTTTGTAATTTCCTAAGTTCCTGTTCGCTTGAATGGTGCAAATCTGGAGTATGGAGGAAGAGTGGAAGTATTTTACAAAGGTAAATGGGCAAAGATCTGCAGGAATAAATGGGATTTTGACGATGTCAAAGTTATTTGTCGTCAACTTGGCTTTGAGGAGGCTTTGGCGGAATTCATTGGTTCAGACGTAAAGGATGAGGGAATTCCTTTTGTAGTGTCAAATATCTCTTGCAAAGGAGATGAGCCAGAACTTGCATCTTGTGCTCGTATTGATGGAAAGGTTAAAATCCCACCTCAATGTTTATCAGATGGCAAGGGCTCTCAGGCGTTGTGTCAACCAAGTAAGTAGTTCATTATAAAGCCCGAAAGGTGATTCTGTTCTCTTGTGTTGTCTCTCTTCCACGGTTAGACATCTTAGGGTAAAGGAAAATCAGCTAAGAACTCGGAGCAATAGATGACCAGAAGCTCTTTTCTAAAGGTTTCTGTTGAAGTACGGCTTGCGAGAAAGCATATATTTTTTCGCAGATTTTACACTTAAGATAAAGATCTGACTCGGAATGGGGATGACATGACTTGGTTTGGGGTGACATGACTAAGCTTAGTGGTAATTTCACTTGGTCTGAGGTAATATGACTCAAGTGACTTGAGCTAGGGCTCAAATGACTTTTACGGGAGTTTCAATGGCTGTTTATTGGATTTCATGATTCAGTGAAGGGTTACCTAGGTCTTTCGGGGGCCTCATGACTTTTAAAATTTGGATGTAATTATAACATAAATTGACAAAGGTTGACGACTTTGTGTGGAGTAATGTAACTTAGCGTAATATAATGTTCGAAAAATCTACAAGTCTGTCAATTTAAGGATTGGTATAGGTAAATATGTTCATCTTTCCTTTCTCTACCTGTGATGTTATTTAAAATGAATTAATTGTTCTCTATAAATCCTCTAACTGAACCATTTCTTGCAGAGAACAAAAAAGTGTTGGACAAAAAAGAACTCTTTTTTGATATTGGTAGCAATGAAGAGCTTCAATGCTCAATACATAATGAAACCAGTTATGCAAGATGGAAGATTAATGGTCGAAAGCTTCAAATCAAAAACTCTACTTATCAAAGAATCAGGACTAAAGAAACTGGTGAACTGTTCATCGACAAGGTGCAGTTGTCTGATGCAGGATTGTACGAATGCTACAGACTGGAATATGTTCAATATTACATTGTCTACGTTAATGGTAAGAAACACATCTTTTCAGCTTACAAAGATACAGGCACAGGCTAAAAATTTAGGATAATGAAAGGTAAGGCTAGCATACTACTGACCTTTCAATAGTACTGCTATGATATTGGTGGTTCTTATCACTTCTTTCGACAGCAAAATTTACTGAGAACACGCTAGACCAATAAACCTTGATTGCGGGCACATCTGACATTATAAGCTGCAGTGCCGAGGGAGAACCAAGCCCACAGATGTCTTGGAGTAAAAAAAGAGGAAATTCTTTAGACCACAGACGATTCTATCAAGTATCCAATGGCAGCCTATAAATTAGCCCCGTAAAGCTTGAAGACGAAGGGACATACATTTGTACAATGGAACAAACTAAAGGAAAAAAGAGGGTCACAAGGAATGAGAAAAGCATAGTTGTGACAGTTATAAGTGAGTAACTAATAGGGGTAATGTAAAGCAAGTCATGCAATTACATCAGTTCCTAAAAAATTGACTGTTATCTAACCAACTCAAATTTAAAGCGTTTTCGCTGTCCATATCTGCAGCTATGCGAGGTGAAACCATATCACAATTATATTGTTGATTTTAGTTGTTTGAAAAAGGGTATTGTGTTAGATAATTATAGTTGTAAACTCCGCAGGTTGATCGTCATAACGCAAAGTAGTGCCTTTCGATGAGATTTCTAGTTTCTTTATAAACTGGTCAAGTGCTAAAAAACGGCATCGGCTGACTAGCACGGTACGTTCTCTTTCTGTATTAAGTATAATCGTTTGACTAACGATGCAGTTATTTCGGATGTGGATCGCGACGCTTTGACTGCATGCTGCGCGTTGGTGTCACCTGCGCCTACGAGAATGGCGAGGGAGTTGTTGGTTTGCCTCCTCGGTTAAGCGAACGAAGGCTTTTGGTTGTAAAAATACTGTCGGAAGCTATCGATGTTCTCCTGATCCAAGATGATAAAAGTATCAATTATGTAATGCCTCGGATCCTTGGCTTGCAGGATGATGACGTTGTCACTTTCTTTTCAAAACTCTCTATGTAAAGGTTAGCAGTAACTATGGAGACCGGACTCCCCGTGGCTGTGCCTTCTGTCTGCTCATAAATTGGTCCGTTGCAATGGAAGACTACTATTAATAGACCTTGATACGAAGTTCAAGAGGTCTGCGATCCGAAAACAAACAAAGAAACAAAGAAAAAGACACGAACTAAGTTTTGAAACTTAGTTACTATTTAAAAATTTACAATTTAAAAATTTGCAATTTAAAAATTGTAATTTCGCCACCGTAAAGAGTTAGAAAGCTGACGTTTCGAGCGTTAGCCCTTTGCCAGAGCGAAGAGAGGAATGGTGGGTTGTGAGTGTATTTTAAAGCAGAAAGTGGAGCTACGCTATTAGTGAGAACATGGTGACGAGAAAAACAAGAATAAATCAATAGATCAAAAGGCTTTCGTTGATACCTACGGGATTAAGAGTGGCGATTTGAAAGATCAACTTTTGTTCAAGAGTTATGCGACTTTCCGAGCTACCTAAATGTAAGAAGAGACAGCAGATTGCCACTTACTGCTTAGAATGATTAGTTAAATTAAAGCGTCTAGCGACTGGTTTTAATGCGTCCTTGTCACTACTTTCTTCGTCGCGAAGGTGTTCTCGGAATCGGTCATCTAGTCATCTTCCTGTTTCGCCGATGTGTATCCTTTTGCAAGAAATGCAAGTTATGTAATAGATGGCATTAACTCAGGTGCACGTGAAGTAATCAAAAATCTTATTGGATCGTTTGGGTCCCGATATTTTTTCAGCGTTGTGAATGAAAGGACAAGTTTTGTATCGTATGCGAGCGCATTTAAAAGTTCCAGGTTGATCATTAGTTTCGAAAGAACTTCTGACCAAAAAGTTGCCTCTGTTTTTGTCACGTTTGAATGACATAAGAGGAGGTTGCGAAAAGATGATGCCAGTCTTTGGATCGTTTTGAGATCATTTAAAGTTTTTAGAATAATGGATTTAACTGAGTCGTTGTGAGTGTGAAATGTGAGAGTGAATGAGATGCGGTCGATCGGAATTTTCCTTCTGTGACGTTAGTAGTGCTGACTGTCGATCAATAAGTTGGGCACGGTGGTGACCCGCTTGAACGACGGAAACAGAGTGACCACGTTTTTCGAAAAACTGGCACATTTCCTCTAATTTGTCGAAAAAATCAGTCATCTCTACATAAATGTCGAAGTTTTTGAAACTGAGGAAAGGGAATGGAATTCCTGACATAAAATGGATGCGAAGATGAATACAACAAGTGACTATTTGAGTCTGTAGGTTTGCATCCGAAAAAGGGGTTTAACCAATTTATCTCTATTTTGCCTCTTAACTCCTAGCTCGGTCCAATGAGTTCTGTGAAAATGATGATAAAAATTGCGCAAAGAGGCCAGAAACGTTGCTATAAAATCTCAATGAAATATATTAACATTGAAATGGAGTAGTGTTTTCTCTTTAGTGATGCCACCGTTTTCTGTTTATGTTTTTTGTTGTTGTTTTCTTTTTTTACCTCTTAGTTCCACCAAAAGTGAATATTTCTGGGGCAAGCAATCTCATCAAAGAGGGAAACAGTGTGAAATTGACGTGTGAAATTGTAGCTGGTCGGCCTGAGCCCGAGATAACCTGGCTCAAGAATAATACTTTGCTGCAAAAGAGTTGGTCTCTCCTTTTCCCTAAAATAAAAAAGAAAGACGAAGGGTTGTACACTTGTAAAGCAGAGAATGCCGCTGGTATACTTACCGAATACGTCGAGATTTCTGTTAAGGGTGAGTTTGTATATCTCATAGTCATGCATTTGGTTTGTCTACTGGGTGAAAATTTTTGTCCAGTGGGCTGGACTCTGGATTAAGGGGTCTGGGTCTGAGCTTCAAGGTCATTGTGGAAGTAAGTAACAACTTCGTTGATAAAGGATGGTGTATAGATAGTATAAAATGTTGAACTAGTGGCTCTACGCCCTTAACCTCTTCTAAAACAGTTAAGAGTTGTTTAAAAACAGGCAGAACTAAAAGAACTAATAGAATCCTTTTTACGTATTTCTAAAGGGATTCCATTCCAGAGCTCTACCCCACAAACTTGAAAAGTTTTACCTTTTTCCGTTTCTCTACTGTACTGCTGAGGGCACATTAAATTGTAGCTCCCATAACGACTGATCCTACGGTGCGAATCAGAATTTCTGGGAATTATGTGCGTTATGTAACTTGCACAGTCGGTCTCTCTTACCCATGTTGTGTTGTTGGGTGACATAAAAGTACCGAGTAGAAAGGAATCTTAGGGAAACCATCAGAAAAACTTAACCTCCAACGTTTCGGCTGGTAACTGCAATGGATTCATTTGTTACGACCAGGTCCGTGATAAGTGTTTTTTCAGACCGTTTTATCTTATATCTATTCCTGCGTGATGGTTTTAAAGCTCAGTTAGCAATATAGCCTGGCTTACGTGGTTTTTCGAAGCATTTGCATGATATAGTCAAAACTTGTTTAATCTTCGGCTTTTTATGTATGTATTTGAGTGGCACGGGGAAGAGAATTGGGGATGGGGCTTTGAATCTTTGATTACTATATTAGCAGTTCGCAATCTGTGTTTTTTCTACTCTCTTCGTAGTTCCACCCCGTGTAAAGTTTGAGTTCAACAATGTTAACATTGAAGTTAACTCCACGTTTACTAAGAAGTGTTATCGGAGTGGTGATCCAGAAATATCTGTAAACTGGACCAAGGATGGAGTGCTTCTTAGTACCAACAATACCCTGATCATTAAACGCGCGAATTTTAAGGATAAGGGCAATTATGAATGCACCGCTCAAAATGATTATGGCAAAGCTAACGCCTCCTTCTGGATCGATGTCACAGGTAAACTCCATACTGTAGTCTATGTCATATAGTAAATTTGTAACTCGAGAAAGTGTTAGTATACGTCTTTGTAGTTTAAGCCAGAATAAAAGGACATTCTTTTTCTCTCTTAATTCATTTCCTTTAAATATGCCAATGAGTAACGAATAATGATCTCATGATACATTTTCATAACATAATAATTTATTACCGAAGTTGGAATGAGATTTGAAAAGAACTCCCATGTTTACTAAGTTTCAATTTGCCAGCATTAGTTCGTTTCTCTGTTGAAGGGTTCCTGATCATATACAGATGATTCTGACTTATAGACACCCCGATAGTACTCTCGGAAGCTAAACTACGACTAAAGCTACAAATAAATTTACAAAAACAACTCCCACTATTACATTATGACAAACGCTTTATGAGATCCCTTTCAGCATCTTCGTGCGTGTACTCATGTTACGGGAAATAAAACTTAGAAGAAAGATAGGCTTACTTATTGCGTGGTTTGTTTGTTCGTTTGTTTGTTTTTTCGTTTGTTTGTTTGTTTTTGCAGTTTTATTTAGAGTTGAGCAGAAAGGGTTAAAACGGTCAGTGCAAACCTTTCTTGAATCAGTTGGTCTTTTTACTTCAAGTTTCTCCCGAGATCACTAAGCCTCCGATAACCCAGTCTGTAACCGAAGGGTATCCAGTCAACTTCAGTTGCCGAGCCTCAGGTGTGCCAAAACCAACCATAGTCTGGCTTTTTAATAATAGTGACCTCCCATCTGACATCAGTCGAACCGATCACGATGGAGAATCGTTGCTAGAGTTGCCAAGTGTCACAAAAGAGATGAAAGGCACTTACAGGTGCGAAGCGAAAAACAAAGCAAATACTTCTAGTTCCTCTGCAACACTACGTGTTTATGGTAAGTTTAATAATAATGATAATGATTACGATGGCTTTAACGATAACGATGACGAAAAGAAAGACGATGACAATGGAGAGGGGAACGGATATGAAGATAAAGCTGTAGTCATTTGGAAGGCGAGAACAAACAAAGAAAAGAAATAAAAGTGACGGCGCTATCATTGTTAATTGATACGAATTAGTGTAATTTGCCCGTTGATTAAAGAGATACACGTGTTTTTTGAGAAATCGAGCCGGTAAACTTTTTGGATAATCAGATCCTTAGCTGGGTAACACCCCACTTCTAAATTTGTAATATGTTTGAAGTGACATGACATCTTTGCTGATTTTACAGTTTTCAACAAGACTTTGGCATGCAATTGTCTCTGGCAGATATTCAGGCGCAAACGGCCTTTGGTAGGCATAAGCATAAGCATATTGAATCTCCAGCTTTTAAAACTTGCGGGTTGACGTGTGAACGTGGGTAGATATTCATTCTGACAAGTGAATAAGCGAGTGCAATATCCCCTGTGAGGGAAGGAGTACAAAATCACGACCAAGGAAAACAAACTAGTGTACGATTTGCAGCTAATGTGATAGATTTTTAACTTTTTCGGCTGCTGCATGTAAATGTTTCGATGATACACGATGATAGGTAGCTGAAAAAGTAAGACGCAAAGTCATCAATTATTTATGTGACGCACAATCATCTCGACTATGAACCTGGGGATGAATAGATTGGGCTACTTAACTGATTTGTGGAGTCCTTTCGATACAGTTACTAAGAGGTTAGTTTAAAATTTTAAAGTATTGGAACCATGCAATTTTGGGCGATTGCAACAGTAACTAGTCATTTAAAAGCATGGGGCCTCAAATTCTCCTCTGAAACCTTTTCCAAACCGAAGCAACATGTTCCAAACATTCCTTTCATGAAGTCGAATCTAGGTTGTTTTCCTTTTATTAATATTAATCCAATTTTGTTTTACTTTGGAGAGTTGTAAATGCGAGTTCGAATATCTTTAAATGAATTACCCCTTATTGTCAACGTAGGAAAAGCCTCTGCTCAAATTGTTCCAGATCCATATCCAACACTCACAACAGAAGATGCCCTCACATTGACCTGCCAGGTCAACGAAGACACAATAAAAGTAGCTTGGAAAAAAGATGGAAACTCACCATCAGAAAGGGCAAAGATTTATACACAATTGGATAAGAAAGAGAGTGAACTTACCATTTCTAAGGTTTTGGAAGAAGACGGTGGAAAATACTCTTGCGAAGGACGTAACAAGCTTGGGTTTGTGGCCCGCTACTTTGTAAAAATAACTGTCAAAGGTAAGCTGGCGTTACTGTTGTGTCTAAGGAAGCACATAAAACTTCAATAATCAAGTAACGAGGTCATCCTTATAGAAGAAAACTTCTACTTCTTACTTCCTTCTCAGAGTTTACTATTGGTTTTTGTTTTCTGGGAAAATACTTTCTTCAATTAAAAAGAGATTAGAAACAGTAGCAGAACATTATACATGTAGATTCTCACATAGTACACTTTTTCACTTGGAAGGTCACAAGTAAATAACCTATGATTCTCTGTAAATTTATATAATGAAAATCAGTTATTTCGCTTTTGAAAACAGGCGTCGATCACAGATTAAAATAACACAGTAGGAATGCTCACAACCACTTTGAACGGTAACATGACTATTATTATTGTAACATTTACTATCGTTGAGATTTATCCATTGCCACATATTTATCTGACACATGCAAGGTTCCAATTCTTTGTGGTATTACATTGGTGGATCAGTGGCAACAGTGATTGTCATTTTGCTGATTGCCTGCTTTTTCTGCAAGAGTCGAAGGACAGGTGAAGTCCAGTTACCTTGTTTTATTTTAGCTATTTACTGTTTAAAGTAAGAGAAACGAAAATGGTTAGGTCTTTTTTTTTCTTTTTTTTTTTCTACTTCACCCCACACTTTAACTGTTTCCCCAAGCTAACCCTTACCCGTAGAAAAAACACTAAAACGAACGAGCGGATATTGTAATTTTTTAAATAATTGTTATTGTTAACATTATTGATGTCGGTATTTGGAGAACAATTGAAAATTTTGAGCTCATATTTGCCGCAAATTCAAATCATGGTGTCATTGTCTACCAATTTTATAAGAATACTTGAGTGAGTTAATTAATACAAGCTTTTACCTTCTTTGTCTCTTCCATTAAATTTTTCAATTGGAATTACAGCTGTGGCTCTGTAAGTCAACTGTTTTACCTTTCTTTCGTGAAATTTCTACACGTGGAGTTCTCGCCATGTGCTTTAATCTTTTCCATGCTGTCTCTATAGTCAGTAACATAAACTTACTATTTTTTTTTTGTGAAGCATTCTCATTTTGTCCAAAAAATTTATTTAATTATTACCACCTTCATGACTCACGACCTTGAATGATGACTGTCACAGAGATAATATCACTTTACTTTCATCATGGTCATTATGCATAGTTAACATTCATCAGTTGTTATTTAGAATCAGCTTCATTCGTTCGCTTGCTAATTCTTTTCTTTCTTGTCTCACAAGTCTCTTTGAATTCCAATTGATTTTATCATTGAATTCAAAGTTTTTTTTTCCTTTAATTTAAAATTCAAGTATAATTTTTCGGTTTAGATATCAACTGAAAAAGGTTTCCATGACTGATTTCACCAAACAACGAGGTTATTTTTCAACTTCATCCGATTTTCAGAGTGTACTCACCTAATCATAGTTACAAACGTGTTTTGTGATAATATAGGTCCCTGGTTTGGCGAAAACTTTGTCTTCTCATCATCAGTAAGGGTGCTATCTCGATACGAGTCAGGGCAATAAATCAGATTATACTAGCAAACTGATAATTTTTTTTTTGGCTTCTAATTTCATTTTTCTTTATCGCCTTTTCTATTTTAATCCAGAAAATTTATAATGCTTCCAATTTTCAGTTCTGTTCAAGGGGAGAAAGTTCAGATGGAGCCGTCGAATGTAGAGGTAGATGAATGGGAAATTGAGGTGAGCCGTGTCCTGCTTCAAGAAGTCATTGGACGAGGGGCGTTCGCAGCCGTGTGGAGAGCTCTCCTGAGTTCACCAAATGGGAGACCTGGAAACCGAATAGTCGCTGCTAAATGCTTCACGCGTAAGATTCCTTTGATTCGATATGTTTATATATATATATATGGCTTCCAGGGGTGGATTCAAAAAAGTTTATTCTCAAATCAACACACACCCTTCCCTCACTCTTCTTCACTCACAGATAAACACGGAACAAACGGGAGAAAAGGTAAACAAATGAATTGAAAAGAATCAGCCAGTTTGGCGATATTGTCATTCCAAACATTTTTGAGTCGGGCATTTTTTATGGGGTGGGGGGGAGGGAGAAGGTGGTCTCCCGGATCTTCCCTCGAGCTCTAAATCCGCCACTGGATCCACTGGAGCTTACTCTTCCCTTAAACTATGTTTTATTAAAGTGCAAGTACTTCCGATATAAAGTGACTCATCCCCATTTTTGTAGCGGTTGACTGTCTCGGATTCAGGGGGCATTCCAACAGTCTGAGTGGACGGTGGTTTTCGATAGTATTTGCAATGTTGCGGATGGTCAACTCGCGGCCGTCGCCTGGGTTTCCGTACGGGACAGCTAAGATTTCGCGCATGCGCGGAGGTGGCATCTCTGAACGGTGCCACGAGGCCATCGATTTGAGACCTCTTTATATTGTTCACTTTTTCTCTATTTCGGTCATAATGTTGGGTTAATCACTACAAGTATTTAGTGCGAGTTTTCGCGACGCCATCGCGAAGAATTTCGGTTTAAAAGTTCTGATTTTTGTGGGTGGTCACCGTTCGCGGCAACATACGGAACAAAAGCCACAACAAAAATAATTTACATAAAGATCGGCTAAACAAAGAAAACCAAGAGCCCAATGTTAGGATCTAAGCTTAAGCTGATTCCGATCTTAAACGACTCAGCAATGTCTAGGGAGAAGTCGCCGGTGAGTTGAGTAGCGTATTGGTTTCAGATAAAATCATCTAAATGGTAAAAGGACGATGTGAGGTTTGAAAACCAGAGTTAATAGAGGGAACTCTATTAACTCTGTTGAAAACCAAATAGACAATTTCTCAGTCTCAAGCTTGAGACAAATGCATTTATCACAATAATTATCTCTCCATCAACATACCCTGTTGTTGTAGCCACTGCTGGAGAGGAAGGAAGGAATTGTTTGATGAGAGAAATTGATCTGGGAAAACTTATCGGTGGAAACAATCAGCCAAACACTGTAAAGTTCGTGGGCTGCGTTACAACTCAAAGTAAGTACTAAATGTACGGCCTTTTTCAATGTATAAGTTATTAAAAATACTACAAATATTGAGGACTTCTTTATATGAGCTTCATAACCAGAATGGCCCGTTGATCGCACGAAGTTTGTCGTTTCTTCTTTTTTGTTTTGCTTGTTTGTTTTGTTTTGTTTCGTTTGTGTGTGCGTGCGTGCGTTCGTGTGCGTGTATGTGTGTGTGTGTACGCGCGCGCGCGCGGTAGCGAGGCTGTTCTTCTTTGAGAACATTTATCGATAGCCCGATCACGAAGATCTTGGACGCAGGACCAGAGTATCTAATATCATTAATCTTGGTAATCGGGCTACCTCGCTTTTTACGTGTAAGTCTCAGGAAGGAAATTCCTTAAAAATGAGTCCTCTTCCGAAGTTGTTAATAGATATTGTGGTTATGAGCCTTGACTTTTTTTTTACGCCACTTCAAGTTCACCCAATTCTCATCATGGAATACATGCCATGCGGCGACCTACCTGGTTACCTGAGAAAATGCCGAGGAGTGAGGGATCGGTATTATCTTGGTGATGGTAGGGCTCAAGAACTGACCAACTATGATCTTGTGATGTTTGCCAAACAAATCGCTGCCGGTATGGTGTTCCTTGGATCGAGAGGAGTAAGTGAAGTCCTTCATTGTTGTCATAAATCAAATATAAGTGCGAAAAATCTCAGAGCTTTAAACTGTTTTCCGATAGCTCATATTCAGACCGAAATCTGTAGGTACGTTTCACTTACATAAAGTCTGAGACCTTTTTTGGGCCATGGTACGAGCAGGTCACTTCGGCTGTCAAACTTATAGAGCCGGTTATTCAAACAAAGTTTAGCCGTTTTTTAACAAAACCACGTTCTAAACTATCTTCATTTTAGCCTAACCTTTTGCGGGAGCAGTTCTTTTTAAATGATCAAAGCTAAGAAAGCTGGAAACTTATGGTCGAGGGACATTTATTTAACTAATAGAGAAAACCCGACGCCCATTGCTTGGGTAAAACCGCAGTTTAGGTTGGACCTCGTTTGAATAACTAAACCCTTTTGATGAATGTGTGAACTTGTACAAAAGGAATTTTTACTTTAATGACAAAAAGGATAGGAGAGTAATTTTCATAATAACTCGGTTGGAACAGCTAAAATAGGATACCTACTGAGGTGTGACTACCCAAAGAAATATCAAGGCAACGGTAAAATGGTTGGATATGCGCCAACCATATTAGATTTTGGCCTGTTGTGGGACACTCTGCTGCGCTAAAAGCACAGAAAAAAAGAGCAACATCCAAACTATTATGCTAATTTTAAGAAAAAGCGAAAAAACGGAACGTCCCTCGACATTTTTAACAAGAAACGAAGGTGATGAAAAGAGCATGCTGTTTTTCTGAGCACAACCGGTCGTCTGTTGGTTTACCATTTCTAAATTTCATTTTACTGTCATAGTTATTATTACTGTGATTATCATAACTATCATCATCATTATCATTACTATTTTTGACATTTTTCTTTAGAAGGTAAACGACTTAGTCCTGACAGCCTTAAAGAACTATAATGGCCTGCCTAGTCGCCCTTTTCTCTCCGCACACACTCGCCGTTTTGTCATGAAATCAATTAATAATTAGAGGTTTTCGCGTAATGGATCTTTGTCTCCTGGTAGATCATCCATCGTGACCTTGCGGCCCGAAACATTCTCCTCGATAACAACTATGTTTGCAAAGTGACAGACTTTGGCATGGCATATCAAAGCTTCAAATATTGCTATGGAAATGCCAAAAAGGTAGGAAATGCTTTTGTTGTTGTTGTTTTATGGTGGGGCTTTCTGGAAAAAGCTGTAAACACCAGCATTTTCTCAGCATGAAATTAACTTAGCTCGACCACCAACATGGCTTTCATAGTTCACATTGACCTTAAAAAAAAGGGGAAAAGACAATGCAAGGTAAAACGCTAAACACCGGGGTATATAAATTTGACTGAGGTTTTTTGTAGACAGTCTCGCGAAAGAAGGTGTGTTTCCTCTTTTCTAATAGGACTGCTTGAAGGCTATTTTAAAGAGAATGACAAATTCTCTTTCTCTTAATTTACTCATTCACTTATATTCACCAAGATCATCAGTTCTGATGCATCTCGCCGTGAAGGGGCACAAAATATTTTTTTAGCTCTTTTTCTTTTCTCCTACTTTTGCGCAAAAAACTCGACAACTGCTAAAATGCTACTTTTTACTTCCTCATACAATTAAGTGTATGAACGACCGACTATTCTTTTGGTGTTCAACATTTCACTGTTTTTGTTTGCGCTAGCACTGATTTTTCTCTGCAGAATAACAGGTGTTCAGAAAAAAATAATAAAAACAAAAATGTAAAGCAAAAAACAAACAAACAAACAAAACAAAAAACCAAACAAAACAAAAAACCAAACAAAACAAAAAACCAAACAAAACAAATAACAATATGATAATAATTATTTAAACAGAAGTTTTAAAGTGCCTATAACCCCAAAAAATTTTTTTGGCCCTATTAAATCTTTCCATTGCACTGAGCAAACTGCCGAGAAAATCTCTGTGTTTGGTTAAAACCGCGATTTTTTTTTATAAATTTTCAAAGTCGTGGAAAATCGCATTTTTTCAAAACACGACCGTAGCACGGAATTATCAAGATGGGTCTGGGTCGAGCACAGTTTGTGACGTCATTCCAGGCTTTCCAATGAGTTTGCTTCAAGGACTGGATGAAGTATCCTGACGGATATGCCTGATAAGTGCTCTGTTTTCGGTTGTAGCAACACTCCCAACAAAGAAAAAAGAATAGCACTTCATCCGATACTTTTTATGGGGCAGATGACCCGGAGAAAAAAAGAGAAGAAAGAAGTAGATTGACTTTGTGCAATTCTGACGTGCACATTGCAAGCCCACAAAATATTCGGCCGTGTGTTCCTACCACTTCCGAGAAGAAGACTATTCAGTCATGTTTTCTGCTCTGACTAGCGAGACCATGCAACGAAGGTTGCGAAAAGATGGAGTTGGAATTTGCGTCTTTCCAACTGTTGAATTACGGTCAAGTCGCTCACGGTTCAACTCGCCAACGCCAACTCACCGACGTATAAAATCGAGTAGAGACGTCGGCGAGTTGGTCCTCATCCAGTACAACTTATTAGAAGTTATACATGTAGAAATGTAAACGATCGTTAGTAAAAAAAAAAACATTCTTTTTCTTCCAACAAAGTTTATAAGGATCCCAACAAAGCACGATAAACATCGCCAATTTCTGTAACAGCTTCAGACGCGAACGAGTTATATTTATTGTGTGACAACAACACCGTAAAGACGCATCATGTCAATCGCGATCGGTCAGATTTTTCTCAGAAAACTTGGCTTTCTAGACAAGATCTTTAGTAAAAAGCAATTCTTTTTATTTCCAAAAAAAAAATTTAGAACGATCTCAAGGCGATTAAAGCAAGAGAAACATCGCCAATTACTATAAAGAAAACTTAGCTTTCTAGACAACGATTTTAGTAGAATGCAATTCTTTTTGTGTCCAATAAAGTTTTTAAGGATCTCATGGCGAACAAAGTAAAGAAAGATAAACATCACCAATGACTATGACAGATTCAAACGCGAACGAGTTATTTTTTGTGTGACAACAACACCACAAAGACTCATTATGTCAATCGGTCAGATCTTTTAAAGAAAACTTAGCTTTCTAGTTAAGATCTTTACTAGAAAACAATAATTTTTATTTCCGACGAAGTTTATAAGCAACTCAAGGCGAATAAAACAAGATAAACATCGGTAATGACTATAAAAGCTGCAGACGTGAACTAGTGTGACAAGAACACCGTAAATACTGACATCCTGTCAATCACTCAGATTTTTAAAGTAAAATTGGCTTGCTAGACAAGATTTTTAGTGAAAAACAATTCTTTTTATTTGCTACAGAGTTTGAAACGATCTCGAGGCGAATAAAGCAAAGTTAACATCGCCAATGACCAAAAAAAGCTTTAGACGCGAACGAGCTACTTCGTGACAACCACAGCAATTACCACGAGGTGTTTGAGTCTTTTGTAGGTTAGCAGACCAAAACAGTTTACGAGTCAACATTTTACGTGTTTATTCCTTACGATTTACTTAAGATGTTACTTTACTTCACGTTTAAACACTCGATAAAAGTTCAGGCGACGTGACTCAATATCGGGCAACATGACTATGAGTTTCGGGCAACATGACTTTGAGCGAGATTACTTTCGGGTGAGTCGACCGGTTACTACTCGTTCGCGTCTGAAGCTTTTCTTGTTTTATTCGCGTTGAAATCCTTAAAAACTTCGTTAGAAATGAAAAGAATTGTTTTTTCAAAAAGATCTCGACTAGAAAGCTAAGTTTTCTTTAAAAAATCTGACTGATCGACATGATGAGTCTTTACGGTGTTGTTGTCACACTCCCTTGTTCGCGTCCGAAGCTGTTATAGGCATTGGTGATGTTTACCTTTCTTTGCTCGCCATGAAATCCTTAAAAACTTTGTTGGACATAAAAAGAACGGCATTTTACTAAAGATCTTGTCTAGACAGCTAAGTTTTCTAAATAAAATCTAACCGATCGTCCTGATGAGGCTTTACGGCGCTGTTGTCCACAACAACTCGTTCGCGTCTAAAGCTGTTATGGTAATTGGCGATGTTCATCATGCTTTGTCAGCCTTGAGACTGTTATAAACTTTTTTCACAATAAATAACTCGTTCGCGTCGGAAGCTGCTATAGTAATTGGCGATGTTTATCATGCTTTATTCGCGTTGACATCCTTCTAAACTTTGTTGGAAGAAAAAGAATGTTTCTTTTTACTGACGATCGTTTACTTTTCTACATGTTTAACTTCTAATAAGTCGTACTGGATTGAGGACCAACTCGCCGACGTCTCTACTCGATTTTATACGTCGGCGATTTGGCGTTGGCGAGTTGAACCGTCGGCGACTTGACTGGATACCAAACTCTTCACGCGTGGAATGTTAAGGAAACGAAATCAGCTGAAAGCGAGTGAAGTAAGAGAAAGGTGAGAAAAATTTACCAGATCAGGCTTTAGCGAAGGTTTCATCTCGTTGGGAACGTATAATATTGACTGAGATTGGATCGGAGCGCCACTGCCGATGGCCTGGATTGACGTCACTAGCCCCAGTCTCTGGTTCGCTCGTTCGTTCCAAATATAAACCCGACTTTAAAAAATCATAAAAAATCGCGGTTTTAACCGAACACAAAAATGTTTGCGCATTTTGCTCAATGCAGTAAAGAGATTTAATATGGCCAAAAAAAATTTTTGAGGGTTAGAGGCACTTAAATGTTTGTTTCCACAGGGATGTTTGCCAATCAAATGGACTGCACCAGAAATTCTGCTGGGAAATCTCGCCGGACTTTCCACTTTGAGTGATGTGTATGTATCGTGTATATTCTTCCATCACCTCAACAAAATGATCACCCAATTTGACTTTTTTTGTTATACTTCCCATCCAAAATTCACTCGCCACTAATTGTAAAAAATTTCTAATATGTTCATCAGGTGGTCCTATGGAATCGTTCTGTATGAGATAGTTACCATTGGTAAGCCAAACTAAATTCAATAAGAATATTTATGATAAAAGTTTGTTTTGACTTTTTTCCAGGCCTTTCATTCTTGGAATATCCTTAAACAAGATAATACAGATGGTTTACATTCTCTTGCCTTAAGTTCATTGACTAGTGTCTCAGTCTTGTAAGACTGATCGAGCTGTCTAACTTCTCTTGTAAAAATGAACCCTGATAATGAGTTGCGGTCGAATTGTATAACCTCCATGCAAAAAGTAGGACAGTTGTCGTTTCTAGGACTATCCCGTGTTCAGTAAAGATCATCTGCTTTTTACACTTGAAAATCAAATCTCATTAACTCTGTTTTTACTTTAATATGTAGCAAGCTATTAATCAATAGTTAATCTCATCAAATGAATTGAAACAAGAAGTAGAAGGCTTCCATAGTGTTGACTTCTTAGAGACTACCATGAAAACCGAACCAAAACGAAGAAACTTTAATTAAAAATTGTTTCATGCTTAGCGTGAGTCTATCGAGTTATGGATGCACGCGGGGAGTTTGGAGAGCACGAGAGAAGCTTAAGAGCTGCTCCAGGCGCAGCCGAGAGCAGCTCTAGCTTCTTGAGTGCTTTCCAAACCTCCCAAGTGCATCCATAACTCGATATAGGTACAGCTAAAAGCATGAAACAATTCTTTTTTAACATACGAAAACAATTTGGGAGCTGAATGACGTTTTTGTAATGTTTTTTGAAATGAAAGTTGCCCGAAAATGTTGGCCTCTCCGGTTGTTTTGTTGATTTTGTTATTAAATGGTTTTCGGTAGAGTTAACAACTGTAACCGAAAAAAGTCGCGACAGACCAATTTGTAGTCTTTTTAGTTCTTGCTGAATGTCTTTCATCTAAAATTTTCTCCAGCTCCTGTTCCGATAAATTCGGGAAACGGGCCTGTTGTGTTTCGTTTTCGTAGTGCTTGTGCTTGTTAGCTTGACTACTTGCGGGAAGGTCGAAAGCCAAAGAAAAGTTTGGTTGGTCTTGGATTTACTAATATCGCTTTCGGAAACTTTAACTTAAGGAACTCACACGACGGAAATTTTGCAGCTATTTTGAAACTGCACACGTAATTTTATTGAGCACGGCCGTTCGTACATAAAGATTTTGTTCATGTTGATGTAATAGGAATTAGTTAGGACTAGCGCGCGCGCTATGTTATAAACTACATTGACTCAGGAAAATTTATATTTGAGCATCATCAAGCTATGTAAATGTACACGCAGGATTAAGGAAAATTTAGATTTGGGCATCATCAAGCTATTTAATTTAAACGCAGATTTCTTTCTCGTTTAAAATGATGTCGAAAAGGAACACCACGTTTCAGCCACAGTAATTTCGTAGAACATGTTTATACTATGCACTCTTATCATTTGACCTGATAGGTGTTTACAATTGTAACAAATTTTTAAAATTATAGCTCTCTGACTATAATTTCAACAACTTTATCAGTGATATATTCAGTAAAATCACATGCACACATCCTTATGCCTTGTCAGGAGGAATTCCGTACGATGGATGGTCAGAAGGCAGGGTGGTTGCAGAGGTCACAAAAGGATACCAGATGCCAAAGCCTGATCATGTTGATATAAAAATGTTAGTTGTACCTCTCTGATGCGATATCGACGTGTTCCAATTAATGTATAGCCTAAAATTCAACACATCAAAATTAACGTTCTTCTTGTAGAGCTCTTTACAATGAAATAATTAAACAATGAACATAAAAGCTGTTTTATTTTAAAAGTGTGAACTAAGAGCATAAGGTATTCAGCTGTGATAATGCATGTCTACCTTCTTCGACGAGATCAGAGCGAGTGAAATGGTGCAGATATGTTCGATGACCCAAAGCGAACCTAAACCATCATTTTCGTTAAAAGGGTTCCTGTAGAATAAACTTCTTGCAATTCTTCGCATAGTCCAAGAAACATAGTTGAGAATTGACCATCATTGTTTAATTTCAGGCATGATATGATGAAACGGTGCTGGAATCTTAACCCTGACTTCCGTCCTCCATTTGAAAACCTGCGACAAAGAATGGACAAATACCTTCGTGAAGAGGTTTGTTGAATTTAGACCTTGCTAACATTCTATGAATTTTGAAGCCTCTAAGATTTTTCAGTACTTTGACACCATTTAGTTTCAGGATCAATGCCTGATAGGATTGGTTTTGTTCCCCTACGCGCTGTAAGCAGCTCAACAAAGACCATTTAGACCCCTGGTCAGTGGTGCTTTCACGCTCGTTACGCCGTCTACGCGCATTTCACCATTTCCAGTTTATAACTCTCTCTTAGAACCACAGAGATTCTCAGTCTGCCGTGGAAGTAACTGCGCTTTTCAGCTTAACATCACTGTAATATAGTGCTGTGCAGCAAGTGCACAACCCTTATTTCTTGCTTTCCACCCCAGACATATGTGGAACTCCTTAATCTGGGAGCTTATGACAAGAAAAAATACTCCAGAGTTGAAGATCTTGGAGATAAAGATGCAGGACCGAGTGACGAAGTTGTAAAGAAGGCCGCTGCAAAAAGATTGGGAAAATGGTCCAGTGCCCGCCGTTAGGGTACCTTTCTGTCACCTCTCGGTGCTAAACTATGCGTGATGACAGCGATGATTTGAAGGTCTTTCTCTATTAAAGAAACAAACGAGGTCTTTGTTTAAGATGATATGTCATTAAGTTAATTGTTTAAAGATACAAATAATTAATCAATTCAGTTGGATTCAAAGTAGGAGAATTTGGGTAGATATTACTTCAACTTCCCTAATTGATTGAAACAGGAGAGAAAGAGATAGAATAACATCCAAAAAATTAAAAAACAAAACAAACTTAAGAAGCGGCCCGTCCATACTCTTTAAATTTGCGAGCTTTTGTAGTAAAAACATTCTGCCCTAAATTTTTTTGGAACAAATCTAGTCTGGAATCTTCCCAAGAGTAGTTGAAATTTGGTAATTTTTTTGTAGTTTGGTAATGTATTAGTTGTGTGGTATTAATCACCACTGAAGTATCCTGTATGCTGATGTTATTGACTCCGTAACGTGTCCTTTAGTCCACATGCATTTTGCTCTCATATTGCTTTGTTTAACTTTGGAGCCATTGCTATTTGAAGACAAATGATTGCATTGATATTGAAATTTATATTTCCTCTATTTTTTACTTGTCAGACTTGTCTAGTATGTATTTAGAAACCTCAGATGTGATCATAAGATTTGAGAATTAAAAAAAATGAAAGAAGAGAATCAAATAAGGGAAACCATACAACTACTCGTTGATCATCAGTTGTGACCCTTTTAACCCTAACATGATCAGTCCGCATATTCTCCATACTGTCCGCTATACATTACCTAAGGTGCTAACGAGGAGAACTTGGTTAACAATCGAGAAATTTTTTAGTTCGTGATCATTTCCTTCATTCACACAACCAGGACCTTAAACCGTTGCTATAACGTTAACTGCCAACCCTAACTGCCACCCAATGAGAAATCCTGTACCAACACAAACTGACATAACATTTTTCCAGAATTGTAGCTTGTTTCCAGTTTCAGAGGCCAGTTCAATCTACCCCTCCAGTGCCAAAGATTTGATGGTTACTCTCTAACTTTTGACGTGTTGAGAATGTCATTGAGTAGGTCCAGCAAGCAGTGAAGAGGTTAATGTGTGATTCAGTGGTGATATTTAAAGGAGAAATTAGTCACTAGTCACTCTTGCAGATCAAAAGGTTAAAAAAAAAGGACTTACCTGGATTCCCTTGTTAATTGCTAGTTTGGCCATCTTCACAGCAACAGGTCCTCGGGGAAGAATTTCTTCAGCTAAAACAAGTGCTCTTTGATCTGCTGCATCACCAATTTCAGTTTGTTCAGCAACATAATCAGCCAAACCTATTTCTTCGGCTTCTGTACCATTGATCATTTTGCCTATGAATATCATTTCCTTGGCTTTTAAGATACCTACTAGCCTTGGTAGACGTTGAGTACCCTCTAAAAAAACAGAAACCGACAGGCTGTCAGACCATTTTGCACCAACTTTGTAAAGTGTGATCAAAGATGATGATAAGTGTTTTGGACTAATTCGAACATCAATTAATGTCTGACATAAAAAAAAGTTACTCATTACGTTCCAGAATGCTGAAAATCTTGTCTTAGAGAGTTTCAAATTTCAAAATTTTCAGGAAGAGCATGCCCACAGAACCCCTCTCCTTGAGGGACCTGTTACTTTGCAACCATCACGCTTGCAACACAATCATACAGGCTGCCTACTCAGTTCATATCATACATTTATTACACCTTGTAATGACAACCCTGGAAGAGCTCTGTGATATCATTCATTTCAGATGTCAAGGCTGAAATACCAATAGCTGACTTGCACACAAGACTTAATGAATGATGCACTCTATATGAATAGGAAAAAAGGGATATAAACCCTCTAACTCCCAGATGTGATCATCGTGTAACTTCTTCCCATGAGTTCAATATGCTATCATCTTGCACTAGGTTATGAGAAAAGACAGGCTTATCAGCCAGAGGGTGTGATCATGATCTAACACCAAACTCTCCCCTCTGATTTCCAAGGAAATGTAGTGTGGTTAGAGGAGAGAATTGCTAATTCGATCTTGGGAGTCAAAGCGTCAACCTTTAACTCCCACGAGTGACCAAGAGATAATTTCTCCTCATTTCTCCATCAATAAAAAATCAAATAGAAAAGGGATGAGAATAAATAAAAATATTCATTGGTGGATAACCAGTAAGTTGATGCAACACCAAATTCTCACAACTATAACATCAATTGAATTGTAAGACAGGACCTCTTCTGAATTGTCATTGCCTATTGTTGTGAAGAGTAGCCTACCAAATGCTAAGGAGGGGGGGGATGGGTGAGGCAGCTTGTGATAGCCTAAGGGAAGAGGAGTTAGGTTGTTTGTGATGGCCCTCCATTCCATCCAGAGACAATGAAATTCCTAGCTGCCATGGATAAGTAGCAGAATCTTATCAAAACTCTACCTGCCCCAGGAATAATAGCCAAATGAGTTTCTGTTAGCCCTACTTTAGCGTTACTTGCAGCAATCCTAAAGTCCATGACAGGGCCATTTCAAGCCCACCACCTAGGGCGTGGCCATCTAAAGCAGCAATCGTAGGCATTGGTAGGCTGTGTAGTTCCATTATTGCTGCCCAATCCATGGATACAAATGGTCCAACCTCATGCGCTGCCATTTCGGCTCTCTCTTTGAGATCAGCTCCTGCACAAAAAATACCTGGGAGTGACAAAAGACAGGAAAACTTGAGTAATACCAACTGTAATAAGGGTTCTACTACAAAAAAAAAAAAAAAGCTTGAAATTTTTTTAGGCCTAGAATTCTACTAGTTGACAAAGCACTGGTCTACTTGTGTTCTTATCCAACACTGTCTTTCTCCAATCACGGGGATAAATAGTGCTCACAAATTAATTGCAAGGAAAGCTTGACAAACTTGAGTTGCCAGGGATGACCTGGCATCTCTTTTGGAAGATACTCACAGGGATCAACGAACGCTTTTCATTCCACTAATTTATTCATGTTTTTCTCGTTGTCATGTTCCCACCAATAACATAGCTCCATTTTCTGCCTTAAAAAGCACACACAACCCACATTTTACCCTTGCGAATTAAAGGTAGGAATTCCTAGGATTTTCCTTAGAATTCTTAAGAATCTTTTCCTAAGAATTCTTAGGAATTCCTAGGAATTCCTAGGAACAAAGGTGTGAATTTTCACGGTAATTGGAACATGGAATTCCTAGGATTTCCAAGGTTTTCTAATCTTGCTTGGTGTGAGTGTGTAATTCCTAGGAATTCCTCGGAATTCCCAAAAAAACCTAGAAACTCCTAAAAATTCCTTGTTTATTGCCAACAGGACTTGGAATTCCTAGGAATTCCTGGGAATTCCTAAGAATTCTTGAGAATTTCTAGGAATTCTTAGGAATTCCAACTCAGAGCACCTGAATGACTTCCCTGAAATACTGTGAATCTAAAAACTTGCTGGAAATTCCTAGGAATTTTTAGTAATTTCAGGAATGTTTAA